GGACATAACATGAGAACATCATATACTATATAGGACATCAAATGAAGACATCATCATATATGGACATCACATACAGACATCATATCAACGGTGTGCGAATCTAACTGTGCAGGTACCAAATTTAATCAAAAATGTTTTTTTCTCAAATGAAAGCTCACATCGTATTACATATGCCAATGTGAAGTTTTACAGTAAAAAAAACCCATTTGTATACTAAACGCGCAACCCAACTTCCAGTTTCATCTTAGGCTGTGCGAAACGTGTGAGCGCGTGTGCTTTTCGCGTTATCTTTTTTTAATAAATAAGGTCATACGAGCGTGAAGGACACATTTAACATTTTAGAACATTGTTAGAGAGCAGGAAAAGAGGTGAAAGATGAAAATTTTAGAAGATAATTCTCTTTCACTATCCGGATTCTAATCCACAACCTATTGAAGCAGAGGCGAACATCTTAACCTCTAGACCATGAGAGCCCTATACTTTTTCTTCATTTTACAATTTTTTTCGGTTTGGTTTGGAAGTGTTTTGATTATTGCGAATTTTGCAGGAATTCTAAATTTGTGGAATTTGTGACCAGTGATGTGGATTTGAGAAAACCTGATGTTGGAGTTAGAAAAAAATCGGCCGACTCCATATCACTCATTCACTGATTAAACCACTAGCAAGTTTTGGGTAATAAGTCAGCAAAAAATTGCTCACAATGTATCCAATGGCGTCGGTGGCCTAGTGGTTAGGCTCTCGGACTCGCAACCGTAAGGTCGTGGGTTCGAATCCTGTCAAGGGCCCGACGTTGTGTCCTTGGGAAAGGCACTTTACACGAATTTTCCTCACTTAACCCAGGTGGGAATGGGTACCCGGCTATAGACAGCGAAAGATCTTGTCAGTTTGTTAGTGTTTGAGCGCTTAATCGGCTGCTCGCACTGTATGCTTCCCGGGAAGCTGAGAATGTTTCGGAGTGTTCTATGGTCTGCTGGGGTAATAATATAGTGTAAAGCGCATAGAGCCTGCTGTTGAGCGGGGATATGCGCTATACAAATGCTATCTATTATTATTATTATTATTATTACTTGATGGACAATTTGTAAAAATATAGGCCTACATACTAACAGAAAAAAAAAATCAGTATACAGGCCCAACAGAGTTTTTAAAAAAATGTTCTCTTTTAATTGTTCGAACGGAGGTTTTTTTGTGTGTCTTTTTTCAAAGAGATTTTAGTTACTGGGACATCTCAGTTTACACTGGTTCCTAACATTCCGACAAGAGCTGAGCCACTTCAGTCTGAAGACTTGTTCCAGCAGAGAAAGAGAAAAGAATTCAAGGGAACATTCCATGCTTCATCCCTTTCTTGGTTTGACTGCAAAACAGTCCAAAGTTTTTCCCTCGTCTCTTTTGTTTGAATTGCACACTTGTTCTTCATGTCAAATGCTTTCATAGTTGAACTTTTAACTTGTCACGGGTTCTGAAGAAAAGCTCATCATCTTTTTGTCAAATTAGATGGAATTCAAGAAGTGTATAATATGACATTTTGGGGGTTTTTTTGCACTTTAAAAATGTTGACGCCAAGGACTACTAAAAAAACAGGTCTGACTTAGCTAGCGGAGGCCAGTATGCCGCAGTGACCTGACACTTCGCTGGCTGAGGACTACTTTTACTGTGTGGCAGTTCCCTGTTGTAGATCAGGCACAGTTATGAGCGTGACATAATGAATCAGCCCATTTACAATTCTACTGTGCTTGAACGAGAAATGTCCCCCCTTTGGGAAAGGCCTAAAGACACTACAGTCAGTGGCACTGCCCGCGGGGTTTCTGGAGAATTTATGAGAACCAAACTGAAATAAAGAAAGGGGAGACCTACGAGGGAAAAAAATACAGGCCTACTGAGTCAGGAAAGATCTTCTCATGGGAAAAAAAGCCCCCGAAGATTATCAAGGACAGGTGTGATTGCAGAGCAAGTTTTGCACAGTGCAGAGAAATAGATGAAGAGGAGAGGAATACAATTTTAAAAACATCTGGTCAATGACATGGGCAGAGAAAAAAGTCTTTGTTGCGAACACGGTTTCTGTTGCAGAGGTGGGAGAGAGGAAAGTGCTGTCAGATTCCTACTGAAGAAACACCTTTATTTCTGAGAGATTGCAAGGAGATGTCTCTTGGAACAACAGGACTTGCGGATTACTTTGCAAGAACCTATGGACATCGAGATAACTTGAAAATTTAAGAGTCTCCTAAAGAGAAAAGAGTGAGTGGTCTCAGAGAAGGAATAAAGACATTTTTCAGCTCACTACCAAAGATGCCCTCACATTACAGCAAGAGAGACTCTGCAAAGATTTATGTGGAGCCTACATTCCACAGCTATCTTTCCTGTTTCATGTTTAAGAAGATTTTTGAAGAAAGGAAGGAATTCCAACAACTTAAAAAAACAAACATTCATGTATGATTTGGAAATAAATAATATTCAGTTTTTCCCCGAAAAAGGACATGAGCGACACCTGTGTCAGTTTTGAAACTGGCAATTTGAACGAAGCAACCTACCACCAACACAGGCAAGAGGAAGACCGTGCCCGCACTGAGATGGCTCAAGACATTCAGGACGCTGCCAACAGCAGAGGACAAATGCGCGTTCTTACAACGGATCTGCGGTGGGTTTTGCTGTGCCTATCCAGCAATCAGCACTTTGTCTTTGACTGCAACAAGCACAAGACGAAGTGCTACGTGTGGCATGAAGCAGAAGGTGGCCCTACATCACAAGAATTTGCATCTTGCTTATTTTACTTTCTCAATTCTCATGACCCAGGTGGACATATGCAACAAATATGTCATTTACTGAGACGGATGCCCGTACCAAAACAGAAACATTAGCATGGCAAAAGCTCTGAGCTTTTTTTCACAAACAACTTGCAAAGAGATCCAGCAGAAGTTCCTTACCTGAGGCCACACTCAAATGGAAGAGGACAGTGTACACAGTTGAATCCAGAGAGCCATCGGCAAGCAGCCCGTCCACTGCCCTTGGGACTATGTGAGGACCATGAAAGGCGCAAAGAAAGCCAAGCCACAGTAGGCGAGGAACCACACACTATCTTGACCACACATTTTCCCAAAACTTTGCTCCAATTATCTCTCGGAATTCCATTCAGCCTGGGAAAAAAGCTGGAGAACCAGTTGTCATTGACATCCTTAGTTTTAGTAAGGTTTTTTACAACAGTTCCCTGTTGTAGATCAGGCACAGTTATGAGCGTGACATTGATGAATCTGCCAATTTACAATTCTACCGTGTGTGAACGAGAAATGTCCCCCCTTTGGGAATGGCCTATAGACACTGCAGTCAGTGGCACCGCCCCGGGGGATGTACTATCTTTAAAAAGTCCCCATGTTGAAACCGCAATGCTGGTGAACCGCACTGAGAATTAAATACGTTTTTTTTTCTCTCTCCTGAAAAATTGGCTAAAAATGCTTTGCACTGTTAGCATCGCGCACCGTCGATACAGGACTACACAAAGGGACATTGCGTGATGACACAAAATGAGGACATTATATAGGACATCATACATATGGACATCACTTGCGGACATCATATAGGGACATCACATGAAGACATCATACAGGACATCATATATATGGACATCACTTGTGGACATCATATGAAGATATCATACAGGACACCATATAGACATCATAATATGAAGACATCGCATGAGGACATCATATGTGTATATGTGTGGACATCACATGAAGACGTCATATAAGTCCATCAAATAAGGACATCATACAGGACATCAAATAAGGACATCACATAGGACACCACATGAGGACATCATATAGGACATCACATGTAGACTTCATATAGGTCCATCAAATAAGAACATCACATGAGGACCATATAAGGACATATAATAAGGACATCATATCTATAGGTTTATCACATCGGGGCACCACAGCGATGGCTGGACACAAAACTCCCACAAAAAAAACAAAAAACATTCGCGTAATTTGGCATGTGTCAGAGCTTTGCACCCAATCATCGATCTAAGAGGCATCACAATCCAAGCAGATCCACAGAACCAACATTCTCCTCTCACACGATCTGGCATACATCAAGCTTGAGAGAAAAATCTTATTATCAAGAAACTATAGCATTGTTAGAACAAAGAAGGGAAAAAAAGAGAGCAAGACACAAAGAAAAGAAATCCCTTTTACCAAAAAAGAAGAAAATCAAAGTGGAGTCCGATAAGTTGAAAAATAAAATAAAACTGACAGCAACCAGACCTAAGCGTCCAAAGTTTTAAAAGTGGAGAAGAAAAAAGTAAAAAGCAAAAAACCCCCCCCAAAAAAACAGGAAAAAATTCCAGAAAAGCGACAAAAAAAACAAAAAACAAAAAAACAAAAAAAACAAAACAAGAACTGCAAACAAGCGCTGAGAAGAACAATAGAAACACCTGTACTGATTGAGTAAGCACGTTTTACGCCAACATCAACACAGATAAGGTCAGTTGTTTTTTTTTTCAGACAGGCTGTTATATACTTTGCCTGACAAGACCATGCTCTACAGGATAGGATTATCGACAAGTATAAATGTGAAAGAAAAACAAAAACAAAACAAAACCACAAAAAAGTGATGGTGCTGTGCCTCTTTTTCGTTTGTCATGTTGTTTTTTCTAATCTGACTTCCGACTGATACTGATACCGATACAATACAGCTGACTTGAGCAATCACAGTTCTTTCAAAGGGAAAATGGAGCGGGTGAGATGAGGGGAGGGGTGGGGTGGAAGAAGAGGAGACAGGCGGATGGGTGGAAGGAGAGGGGAGGGGTAGAGGGAGAGAGGGCAGACCGAGCGGAGAGTAGGTGAGGGGGGAGGGAGGGCGGGACGGAGAGAGGGGGGGATGAGAAAAGGAATAAGGTGGAGGAAGGAGAGGGGTGGAGGGAGAGAGGGAGGGAAAAGTGGAGAAAGAGGGTGGGGAGGAGTGGGGGGAAGGGAAAGGAAGTGGGATTGTGTGTGTGTGTGTATTTTTTTATGTGTGTAGTGAGTGGGGGGGGGAAGGAATCCCACATTATCAGGCCACATCCATATCTGTCTACAGTTTTCTTTCATTCTGAACGATTCCTACACACATAACAGGGGGAGAGGGGGGGGGGCGCGCTACTCCTACAACTTGCATATACTTGAACTACCATCCCTCTCACACTTGGCCGACAAATCCTCAGCGTTCGACAACTGAACCGACACATCACCCCGCCCCTCATCCTTCTGACCACTGGGAGTGCGGCCATTCCACCCCGCGCAGCCGCTACCACTTTCTTCCGTTGAGCCGCAGCGCGTCCGGTCTGAATCGGCACACAATTGTCCTACTCCATTACACGCGGCGGCCCCGTTCGTGTCACACGCTACACGCGACTCTGTGGCGCGCTCCGTCGACCCTGGGTGGGGTACACAGCTTGTGTCTGACGGCGCCAACCGTCCGTGTCCGTTACTCAAAACCGTGCCGTTCTCCTTTTTCGACACGCCGTTGCAGTGTAAGCTTCTTTGACTTGCCTGGAGTTCTTCCCCTTGCAGGTTCTGCGGCGGCGAGGAGAAGAACGGGTGCTGTCGGAACTTGAGATTGTGGGAGCTGTCGAGATGTTGGCACGCCAGCCGGTTGTCGTTGCGGATGGCGGTGATGAGGGAATCTGTAAGCACAGACGACAAAATGGAGGTTTTAGGTTTATGTTTTATGTTTCAGTAAGGGTTTTACAGCACTTGCAACACAATAAGGTCATATAAGGGCCGAAGATTAGAGGTGTTACAAGAGAGTAACATACACGAAAAAGAAGGAGGGGAGATAAAGACGATAGATGTTTGATAGGAAAGAAGAAGCAAACCACACCAAAGCACCCGTCAACCAACCACCCATGTAGTCACAAACTAAAATCCTGAGGGTACCAATTTTGAATGTTCGTTGGCTCATAACTGTATTTCTGTTCAATAGAGGTTGATTATTGTAGTTGAATTTTCCATTTAACACCACTTAACAATAAACCACCCGTCAAACAAATATGAAGTTACGAGTCCACAAGCTTTTAAAATTGGAACCCTCACAATTTCCAGTTTGTGACTACCGTCGTTTTTCCCCTGTACTCTTCAAATGTTATAAGGCACTTTTAGTCCAAATGTGTGGCATCGTGAAGCAAGGCCCTCATTAAAATAACGAGATTGAAGAAATTGACATTTTTTCGTCCTTAGGTTAGCCTCATGGACACAGATTTAAACGTCAAATTATTTGTTTTGGTTTGTACAATTTATTAAATGAAATGATAAAAGATGAAGAGATGAAGAAAAAAACATCTACAAATTTGATGCGTCTATTTTCCGCCGACATAATCTCCACTCGTGGACTGAGAGAAGTAACTCGTTTTGTAAGCACGTCCTACATATCGCAACATCTTGAGAGAGAGAGAGAGAGAGAGAGAGAGAGAGAGAGAGAGAGAGAGAGAGAGGGGGGGAGGGAGGGAGAGAGAGAGGGAGGGGGAGAGAGGGAGGGAGAAGGAGAGAGAGAGAGAGAGTGCACCATCTGTGCAAGGGCAGACGACCAGGACTACTATATGCATGATGGAGTGATCATAGAATCCAGACAGTATGAGATAAGATGTCTTTTACTGATACACCGACTTGCATAACGACTGCTCAGTCATAGGTTTTTTTCTTCTAATGGCGTTTGTTAGAATCTCACAATATATAGTCTACAAACAATAGGCAGTATACAGGCAAACTGTAGTAACCAAACCCCCACAATGAGGGTGGACTTGCATATGCAGAATTATAGCCCCCACCCACCCTCTTAACTCCACAGAAAAAGAGATTTACAAAAAGTTTTAGTCAGAGTTTTATGGCACTTGCAACACAATAAGGTCATTTAAGAGCTGAAGTTATTAGAGGTTTTACAAGAGAGTATCAAAAACAGAAAGGAGGGGAGAAAAAGATAATAGATGTTTGATAAGAAAGAAGAAGCAAACCACACCAGAGCACTCGCCCACCATCATATACAAGAGGCAGTATACAGGCAAAGTGTTGTAACCAAATCCCAACATCTGCCTTAGTAATTGTAAATGGTGAACAAGCTGAGGCTCGACCCC